CAATCACAAATATATATGGTTGTTTTGTATGTGTGTGTACATTAAGTTTGTCAAACAAAAATACAGGTGAAGATTGGCTGTTGGGGTTACGTAATACAAAAATCAGTCCAGAATATTAGGTGTTAGTGAAATTAGGGTAGTAACAAAGGTGATGAGTTGTCAAAAGCAGTTGTTAAAATAATAGTAATAATATGAATAGTTTGATGATTGAGTTTTACTCCGGATACACATGGGAACAAAGAAGAGAATACGAAATAACGTAAGAGTTCTAAATGAATACAAAAATTAGAAGCAATCAAAGAACAGGCAAAGAAACAAAATAAAATAAGAAAGTTGTTACCAAGACAGTACAAGTGGTTGAGTAATCCTCTTTTGTATGCATAGCTCCGGTTTTTCTATGTGAATGGCCAGAGTTTCAGCGATACAAAGAAGGCGATACCGTATTGCCTTTGATAGGTTATTCGTGACTCTGTAGATTACTTTGAAGGAGATGGAATGATCAATGTTAACCAGGTGTGTTCAATTATCGCACTCCTTATTGCAACACTATTGCCTTTTCGCAACCATGCTGGATAGTCTTCTTGAATCGTCTCTCTTGGACAGGGTGCGCGTCGAACGACCGATGTGCCTGGCTCCACAGCAGCAGGTGAACTGATATATGCACATAGAAGTGGTCAGATGCGGAATCTTTTCCCTGAGGCTTCTACCCTAACTTCAGTAACACCTAATTTTCTTGACTGATTTTGTATTACATAACTCCAACAACCAATCTTCACCTGTATTTTTGTTTGACAGACTTAATGTACACATACATATAAAACAACCACATATAGCTGCACAATCGCATATATATACAGTAAATTGTCTTAGCAACAAAATGAATATTTCCGAAGATTTGTCATCGGAATTGTAAATGTTAGATAACAGATTTCGCTAATGTGTTAGAAACTGAAATAAGATTAAATAATCAACTTGAGTGAAGTAGTCTACTGATGAAGAGTCACAAACTAGGATGAAATGGCTGTTCAGTACTCTATTCAGTTGGTTTTCCAATGGTACTCTAACTGATGTCAGCTCATGATGAAATTCTCCTGCAACCAATCAAACACAATTCCTACAAAACCAATATTTGAAAATTAATCCGATGTTCACTAACGACTGGCCTTATTCAGGCAGTTACCTGGGGTTCTAGTGGGAAACCATGACCAGTGGGGAACAGCAGGTGGACAGTGAGGTAGTAACTCAGCGAAGAAGACATTGCGAAATGGTCACGCTAAATCGTGAATTGGCAGAAATTAGAATTCATGTACTGACCACTGGATAGGGTGATAGTGGCTTAATGGTCTACGAGGTCGCTGACCTTGTAACCAGAAGTTCCTGGGTTCCAACCCAAGTTGGGTGGGTGCGTACTAATGAAGAGTCCCAAACTGGGCTGACGAAACAGCTGGCTGTCCAGTACTCCCTAGTTGGTTTCCAATGGTTCTCTAGCTGATGTCAGTTCATGATGAAATCCTCCAACCAATGAAGTAATCTAATTGATGGGGTTAAGTAGAGCTCAACTAAAATTAAAATTGAACGAGGGTCAAGTTTAACAACAGTGATAATAAGGCGGTAGAGATTTAATAGGGAGTGGGGGAAGAAAATATTATACAACTAAGAAACAAACAAGCTAGAAGAAGACAAAACAAAATTAAGTATTTAGTGTTAAGATAGGTCAGATCCACTGTAGTTTTAATGACTGAACAAACTTCCTCTTTTGTATGCAGAATTCATAATTTAACACGTGAATTGCCGTTACTTCTGCGGTTTAAAGAAGTTTGATTCTTGCGCTTTTAGTGATATCTCTACGTATTCCGTAGGTGACTTTGAAGTTACTTTGTGGGTTTGCTAGGTGTCCTGATTCGATCAGGTGTTCCAGAATACAGCTTCGGGGAGAACTTCTTTCTCCTTTATAAAAGCATGAGGGTAAGTGTCCAATAATACGTTTGGATAGCAAACGCTAGGTGCGGCCGACATAGCTAACTCCACACCAGCAGGTGAACTGGTACATGCACATTGATGATGATGCACAATTCGAATATTCATCACACTTTTTGAAACATTCTGATGACACCACTTATGACCTTAATTGATTTCTATTCTTTCTTTTTTGTCATAGCTTGATTCCACACAGTATTTTGGTACAAGAATGGAATTTTCAGCATGTGATATTGGTAGCGCAAATTTAGCAGGCCGACCATTGATATCAGGTGTACTTCGGTGGGAGATCGAACCTGGGACAATGTGTATGGGCGGCGAGAGTCCTAACCGCTGTGCCACCGACGTGTCTGACAAACCTAATTTTCACATACACGCATACACAAACAATTATGTATAATTGCGATTGTACAGCTAAGTGAATGAATTCACCGAAAAAGACAGTGGATTATCCTTTGATTGCTATCTTCTGTCATGCATGCGTCATTGGCCAGGTGGATATCCTTTCGTGGACATCTCTCAGGCCTACATCATTGGCCATGTACTTATACATATATATGTCTTAGCGATTTCTAAAAGAATATTTCGTTTGACTTTTACATTATGAAGTTAAGGCACTTAGTCATAATTCAAGCACTCCTCTTACAGTTTGTCAACTCGTGTATTTTACGTATTATTCTTTACTGTTCACCCTTGCTTATTCTTTCCTGGATTGATTAAAAACGACTATGTCATACTTCGTAAAACTCTGAAGACTGTCGGTCAGTGGGGTGAGGGGTTTCCCATTGGGCTATATCGTTGACATTGCCAGAGATGATAGGCACTTGATTTCATGCAACAAATTTGCTAAAGAAATTTTGTCAGACTGTGAACATCCCCCACTTTACCCAGAGCTCCGAAGTAGTGTCTCCTCTGGTAAAACAAGAAGTCTTTTCAGAAGAATTTATGCACGTACGTCTAAGTATAAAAATTCCACTATACCATATATGGTGGCACGTATTTCATGTGATGAAAATAGTGTTAGGCGTGAATTAACTAACTTTCTTGGCACTACTAAATAAACTATTTTTTCTCCACCCTTACAACATCAAACTTTATTGTTATTGTACTTCTGATATTTATAATCCTCTCAATTTTTTGTTTTTGTTTATTTTTTCATAAGTGTGAACATCATTCAAGCTGTGTTATAACTGTTAATTTTGCCTTTCCCCTCACCATGCTGCTATATCAACAGAACATTAGATTCAATAATCTATAACATGCTAAAATTTCCAAACTGAATCGACAATACTGTTTAAAACAAACTCACTGTTATTATTTCTATTATATTTAATATTCTCATTTTGTACTTCGAATATTTTTGACTTTTTACCGTAAATATGGACAAATTCCTCTGGGAAATTTTGTTTTAAGTTTATTTATATTTTGAGTAAATCAGATGCAATATTGTGACAAATGCTGAGAATTCCATTCTGTATTATAAGTACTGTTTGTTTTGGAATAAAGTAGATTATTATTATTATATATCACTGTGTCGTTTTGTAAGTGCGTCGGTGGCAAAGAACGTAGAATGCTCGCTATCCACTGACGTCATCCTGTGTTCGATGCCCAGTCGACGCACTCCTAAACCTCTCTTAGCTAGTATTAAGCCTGGCAATGAGGGAAGTTTGGGAGCAAGACTACCAGTCCTACCCCATAAAAATGAAACCACTGCCACCGAAACTCAAAAGCTATAGCTTAAAGCCTCCTATTTTCTACTGGGAACGCCAAGGAATAGAAAAAATTTCAAAAATATCATTTTTGTACATATACTGTAACTGATATTCAAACATTCTTTTCCATCTCACGTCGTTTTGTATTTTCGCTTAAATAGTGTGGTCTGGAGAGATAGGTAGCTGGTGTATAGGATGGTCGACTACTCTAGGAGTGTTATTTGACCACCGCGACTGTGTCCATATCAACATCGGCGTCTCTCTATTCAGCTCAACTCAATGACAGCTACACATTTGGGGATATCATAACAATTACACGTGGGTGAATTGAATGTCACAAATTCAAAATTTCAGCCCAAAGTATTTAGAAGACTTTCGACTTTTCGCCAGCTAGTTCACCTAGGAAGACAATATCATCCGGACATTCTAAGTTAATCCCTAAGTTGCTAAAGTCAGTTAGGCTGGATCCCATTAGTAGCACTTGTAGAGAACCTAAGAAATAGTACCTGTCTTCTTAATACCTTATTGTGTATCTACCAGTTTGACTGCAGCTGCGGAGCCAGCTACATCGGGCGTACAACTAGACAGGTTCATCATCGGATTTCCGAACATCATCCAACACAGTTAAGCAAGGGACAAACAAGATCTATTTGTAGATCTATTTTAGCACACCTTGTTGATACTGAGCATAAGGTTGATGTTAATACTGCATTTAAAATTATCTTTCGCATTCCTACTAATCTTAATTTTGCTCTACGAGTTCGTCTTCTACATACGGCAGCTGAAGCAATAGGAATCCACCTGAAGAAGCCAAGCCTATGTTTTCAGAAGAAATCTCTACCGCCACTTTCCTTACCGTGGCCATCTCTAGAAGAATGCATAAACAGGACTACGTCACCCCTCTCCCCCTAAACCTTTAAAAACTATGAAAATTAAAACTGTCCATATTATTTTATTTTTATTTTTATTTTGATCACTTCATCTTTAATTACGTGTTATCCTAGTAAAATTAATTTATTCTAACCATTTCTACCTTTTAAATGTGTATTGATTTTCTTCGTTAATTATCACCCCGCTGCTTGACATTTTGACACTGACTAATTATTGTTAACAAACATATCAGTGCCACTTGATTGGCAAACTGTTGTGTATTGTAATAAAAATGCTATATGCGTGTATATTAGAGTAGAGTCAGAGATGAGGACCTAATTGAAAAGTTATTTATTTCTTCGCTCAATCTTTCTGTTTTCCAAAAAGAAATGATTCAGACAATATTTTCCACATCAAAAACATTTACAGTTTAGATAAAATTCAAAACTTACTAGTTGTTGACGCTGATGGTGATGTTAAAGCCGTAGTGAAATCTCCTGTTTCACTATTTCCATTCACAGTAGGATCAAGCCAATATGTACATGAATATTCAGCCAAACGATTAGCACAATAAGTCAATAAATCTTTTTCAAAATAACCAGTTCTTAAAAACTGGAATAAACTCATATTCAATCCTAGCGGTTTATGTATTCTCAAAGTATCTTGTGCCATATTTCCTCCACCAGATTTAACACGTGCACTTCCTCGAACCATCTTTTTGTCTGTTTTTGTTTTTGATTATTTAAATATGGAGTCCGTTGATGAAGTAATAATAATAATCATGTAATAATATATGGACTGTTTAAGGATTCTATGAATTCATTTTGACCGCTTAATGATGTTTAGAAATAAAAAATAATACAATATTCCAGTATATTCAGTGATCTAATAACTCAATTCTCATTGGCTAATATCGTGTTTAAGTGGATCGATAGACAGACACACAACCATTGTACAACGGACATATAAATTTGTTAACTGACCAATCAAAAAATTCTGTTAAATACACAGGTGAGTTTAATTTTAAAAACGACTTATATACTGGGAATTCTGTGGATGAAAACTTTCTCCCAGAACAGACTGGATTCAGGAATAACAAATGATATGCGGATCAAATTGCAACGCTACTCATTACCACTGAACGGAGCATAGAATGGTAGTTAAATCTGTACATCGACTTCATCTTATTTGACAGAGTTGACCGAGAGTGTCCAGAATCTTTATCAACCTCAGGCAACAGCTATGTGACAACACCACATGCCAGGTGGTCCACAAAGGAAAACACAGTGAAGCCTTCGTAGCGAAGACAGGAGTGAAATAAGCTGACTACCTATTATCACCGATGATATTCTTAAGTGTAATGGACTGGATCATCAGGCAAACCGTGGGGAATGAGAAGACATAAAATCGTTGTACCAATAAGAAGTCTCTAGAAAATGTGGATTTGGCGCGTGGATGATTTATGTCTAATGTCACCCAGACTCTATGACTTACTGATAACAAAGCAACAAGTTGTCAGAAGAAGCGACAAAGACAAAACTTAAAGTGAATGCACAGAAAAAGGAAGTGATGAAAATAACCAACCAAAAACAAGGAGTGCCAGTAACTCCATTATGGATAAGATTTTATTTTGATAAATCACACAGTGTGTTATACAGTAATGCTAACTGATGAACACATTCCGAGCAAAAATTATTACTGCTCATAATCTTATCAAGGCAATACTCATACAACGATCTTGATTCATTTATATACATGAGTAATAAATTGATGATTAGACATTTGAATAAAATCAATATAAGGTGATAAAGTACATTCAGAAATAATAATATGAGTGTTATCAATCAAGCACAATCAAATGGGAAATAAGATGTTTTTACAGTCAAAATAAGTAACTTGTTAGAATGTGAATTGAATACATTTTAACGTTATTTATTATCCTCCTCTGTTGTCTGTCGTTGTTGCTGTACCTTTTGCTGTTGGCCAGGAATCTTCATCACCTCTGTTTTTTTCTATGTTCACTTGAAGGAAGTCCTATCTCCTCTGGATGCTTCTTCTATCACCAACTTGTTGCTTTTCATCACTCGAATATCTTCCAGTTTGTGTGAAATCAGACATATATATGTAATCGGCGAATTTCAGATTCTCCAAGTTTTTTTTGTGTCCATTTTATGCCTGTCTCCTCGCCACCCACCGCTGTCTATAACATTATTCTCTCTACCGCAGTCAGGAAAACCATTGGAGACAGTAGGCAGCCAGACAGCCAGCCCTGTCTTACTTCCGTCTTCAATTCGAAGGATTCTGTGAGTTTCCCGTTGAGGATTACTTGGTATGCAGCAGTGTCATACAACTGTTGGATGAGATGCATAATTGTTGGCGGCACCCCGTAGTAGTGAAGTAGTTTGCAAATCACCTCTCGATCGACGGTCTCTTTTGATGGCCTTTTCAAAGTCGATGAAGTTGATTGAGGTAGAGAGCTGGCTGCCATTCCAAGCTCTGTTCAATGATGATCCGTAGTGTTGCGGTTTTTGATCGATACATGACTTTTTACTTCTGCATCCAGCCTGTTCCGGTCAAAGTTCTTCATCCAGCTTAGCGTGTGTGATTCTCTCCAGGATGATGCGGCTCCTTCTCGTTTAGAATTCCGAATAACTTGAAGTTATCGAACACAGGTCTGTCATCTCATAAGGAGGCCTAATATCTTCATTCTAACAAAGGGTTAATTGGTAGGGATTTGATTTGTTTCAAGTTTAATCATGAGCTGACATCGATTAGACAATCACTGAGAACTATCAGGGAATACTGGCTGGCTCTTTCGTCCTAGTTTGGGATTCTTCACCAGTACTCAACCATCTGGCTGTACCGTTGTATTCATATTATATTACAGAATAAGGCCTTAAGTAACACCAAAAGAAGCTCACTCTATATACATATTATAAGGATAACGAAAATTAACATGGATGGTTGCGGTAGGTGACATAATTGAAGTAGACGACTTAAAAATTTCCAAATGAAACTTATATAAGCTTCTTGACAAAGGAGCATAGAGAGAAGAACTAAAGAAATGGATAAATAATGAAAGAGTGATAATCAAAAAGCCTGATATAGGATTAGCAGTAGTCCTCCTTGATAGAAGAGACTATATTAAAAAGATGAATGATATATTGAAAGACACACAGAAGTTTAAAAAACTTGAGGAGGAGAAAGATTTCAACAACAAAATAGAGAACGAATTAACCAGACGTTTAAAGAAACCTATAAAGAATATCTACCAGTGTGGCTAAGTGAATGTGTAGTAAATACTGTCATTAGCAGTTCAATATTAGAACACCTGGTTCAAACCGGCCACAGAGCTAGCCAGCATTGAAGAATCCTTCACTATCATCTACCAGGTACTAAATAAATTGCCAGAAAAAATCGAGGTGTTGCATACTGCAAACAGCAGAGTCTATCGCGGTTGGCGTGAAACAACCCGTGCTTTGTGTGCAAAAGAAGCAAGTTTAGCTAGCCACTACTACTGCCCTGACCGGCATTCACTGGAGACTATAAATTCATGAACTTGTATTATTATCTTTCCTAATTTCTCTGTCTGATATTCAGTGTCTAGTTTTATGTTGATGCTGTTGGACTGTAATCCACTGATATTATTATTACCATAGATTCGATGTTATTTAAACAACATTAATGTTATTAATAACACTAGTTCATTCACTATTATGGATGGATATATAACTGTAGAGCCTGATGATGAAGAGCAGGTTATCGAAAAGTATATTCTTTATTCAGTAACCATTCTTTTGAATTAAAGTAAGTTAGATGGTGTCAGAAATTAAAAGTATGTGTGTGTGTGAGGAAATGTATAGCTTGGTTAAATCACTGGACTACCACCAGAATTTACATCTATCAAAATCCTTAAACTCGTCTGCATTTCTTATTGTTGTAAACATGCACTTATATTAAAGGATCACTACATGAGCATGTGGAAGTATTCAGTCAACTTTCAACAAAATGTTGCACAATGTTTTGAATGAAATGAAGAAAAAAATAGCTACAGAAATGACTCTTTCTTCATATTCAACGCCACTACATCACATGGTATACTTCAGATTATAACTTTACATGTAAATCTTATTTGAAGACGAAATATTTTGCAACTAAATACTCTGAAAGTTTCAATACTGTGTTTACATGTTGTCTGAAAAAGAGCTTTATTATTTATGCACTTCACCCCTGTTGGTTGACGAAAGACAAACATAGGATGACGAAGTTTTCTATCTGTTTAAACCTTCTTGAATCACAATACAAAGCCAACGGTGATTTACCCTTTAAAATTATTCAGTGGAGTAATTTGAGTCACTCCAAAAGTTCACGTTGTAAGGAATAAAACCGACTGCTTGTGGTCTGAACTCAGGCAACCGTTCTTGAATGCTACCATATAGCTGACTTTTACCTCCTTGAGACACTCACAGTTACAAAACTCTCCAAAGACAACAAAAGAGGTTTCATCATGAACTGATATCGGTTAGAGAACCATTGGAAAACCAATCCGGGAGTATTGGACAGCCAGCTGTCTCGTCCTAGTCTGGGACTCTTCACTGTACGCACCCACCACAGGGGTCGGAAACCAAGAGCTCCCGGTTGCAAGGGAAGCTCGTAGGACATTAAGCTACTGGGAACCAATCCCACTGTAACGGTAGAAGACGAAGACTTGGTAAAGGAATGTTTATTTGGAATTTGTTATCTCTATATAAAGCCGAATTATGTACACCATATCTTCAACGCACCATTTCCACACATCTTGTAAGTTGGGCTACCTCTCGCCTTCCTTCATCAAATTGTGTTTCTTTGTGTTCCTTTCACTTCTCCAATATATCTCCACAACGCGATATCATTTGCCTTCTCTGACATCGAATGTATCTCCCTGCTAAATGATGTTTTATGACAATGAACGCCCCTTTATATACTACTGATAGATCTGATCAGTAGCACTCTCCACACATCGGCCAGTTCATGAATTCCAGCTGTGCCGATTCAAGACATAGCGCGACCACGAGCCAGTGTCTTCACTGACGAGTATTTGTCCTCACACTCGACCTACTGTACCCTACTGGTCACGAATTCTCACTAGAACCCCAGATAACTACTACCCACCTATATAGGGCCAGTCGGTAGTGAGCATCTCATTGATATTCAAGTATTGGTTTGTTAGGATTTGACTGATTGGTTACAGGATTTGATCATCAGCTCTGTCCAGCCTGCAGATATATCTTGCTTACCAATGCCAATAAGCACAAAACAAGGTTGTAAACCTTCCTAATAAATTTCTTCAATTTGCCACAAAAAACTTAGAGTCTATCGTGATGGAAAGTCACTGAGCTTCATGGTGATACTTTCAAACTTCGTTGATACAATTAAGTCCGTATTAACACTAAGAACCAAACACAGGACATTGGATTTCCCCATATGAAGAATCATAGAAGTGAAAATTAGATAAAGTGATACGTGGAAAACGTCCGAAAAGTTGTTTAGATTAAATGAATTCCTTCAAAACTAATTGGATTTCACGTCAGTAGCTATGATAAGAAGAGCCTAAAACCGGTCAGAAATGGTCTGGACAAATTTAAGCCATCAAGCTGAGGTAGAACAACTATTATAATGCAATAAGACAACCCAAACTCATGCAACTAATCAGACTACTTATTTATTGGTTTAACTTTCCGAGGTTGGTAATATATGTTTATCATTTTCTTTGTATAATAAAGGTCGATTGTTTTCACCGACTGGAATATCAGTCTGTCTTCTATCCCTATTCACATGAACTCTGAGGGT